ACCATCGGCTAGCGCACCAACACAGTCTGTCTCAAGAAGATGGATACGCGCAACCAAATCTGAATGGGTCCATAGAGAGGCTGTCTCCTCCGACTCATCGTCGACAGGAAGTATAACAACTTTTAGCTCCTCGACTTCCTTGCACAGACGTTCGTTGTCACTCTCCAAGCGTTCCTTGTCCAGTTGGAGGCAATCCCTCTCCTCAGCAACCTTCGCAGAGTTTTCCTTCTCCCCCGCCAGCAGGACGACTTGCTCGCGGAACATTTCCTTGGACCGCTCGAGGGCCGCCTTTAACTTACGAGAACTGGCAGCAAGAGCGGCTTTCTCGGACTCTAACTCCCTAACACAGTCCGAGGAATCCGACCCTTCCTCGGCAAGGACCACGACCATCTCGGCCATCTTCACCATCCCGACCATGCTGGCGGCGAGATGTTTCCTCCGACTCTCTTTGTCAAGCCGCCTAATAGTCTCGGCCTCGTCATTTCTCACCGTCAGAGGAAACCCCTCGAAGAAATCTTTCTCTTTGAAGCAGGGGGGTAAGCCGAAATCCCTCGCGGCTACAGACTCGTCGCCAACCTCCGACCTATTTTAAGCTCGACTTCTCTTCCTGGGAATCAGTTCGGTGGGTTGCTCAGCATCGGGAGAGCCCGAGGACCCACTAGAGGCATCTCCACCCGAACTGGCCGCCGGTCCCATCCTCGTGGACTGTGGTGCCCGCACCAGCCTTTTATTTATTTTCTTGTCCTGGGTCAGTTTCAATAACCTCTCCCGACGCTCAGCCATGTCGCCTGCAAAAAGGAGCAAAACTCGGGTTAGCTGTAAGCAAGCAAAAACAACGAAAATGGAATAAAACAATAAGAGCAGAAGCAAGAAACCTAGCAGATCTACGGCCTGCCCGTAAGATTGGCACTCGACGAGCGCCTTAGTGTTGATGGGACGAGCCTCGAATGTCGGGTACCCTTCCTCGTCAAGAATATTGTCCCCTTCCCTCGTAACCCACCGGGCAGGGAAGAAACTGTCGACATACTTGCAAAGGACAGCGTAGGCCTCCTCGTCCTCGGCGCTCATGCTTCCTGTAGGCGTACGATAATACCCGGTACCATGATCGTAATGGCCCGAGCACCAATGTATCGGGAACTTGGAAATGCGCTCGACTGCCGGACGACCCTCAGCATCCACGAGGGGCTCCCCGTTCGCGTCGACCACCGTGATTTCCAATTCGAACAAGGAGTCCAAGGCAGTTTGGGTGACCGGCTGCAGAACATACCATTTATCCTTGAAGTCCCTTACTGAATCCATATACATCCGGAACAGCCTCTTCGACTGTTTCAGGGATACCCAGTTGTGCATGTCTCCTCGAGACTGACGCTGCAAGTGAAAGACCTGGAAGAAAAGAGGAATCGTCGCCTCGATCCTTAAGAAACGGCACGTCGGCTCGAACGCCCGAAGGAAGGCGATCGAATTAGGGTGAAGCTGCGAAGGAGCCAAGTTCAGATGGTTGAACACCCCGACTTGAAAATCACTAAAGGGGAGCTTAAGACCGAGATCCCTGAACACGATCTCATACATTGGGAACCCGTACTCAGTAAACTCTGAGCAGATACGCGCATCAATCGACGGCCTCATCACTACAAAATTTTTCTGAAAACCTGGCTGACTGCCGCCATGCTCGACGACAGTATAGGCACGCCGACTACGCCGACAGTATGCCGAGGCAATCCCCCGGGGCTTGGCGCCCACCCAGTCCAACGCGGGGTCATCTATGGTGTCAACTAAAGTAACATTCTCCTCGGTACTTGTATCCTCGACTTCATTTAGCCTCGAAGATTCTGGTTCATCGGCCATTTACCTGCAAAGCACAGGAAATCGGTGAATTCGAGAGCAAATTCGCGTGCTCGCCACAGAGACAGGAAGTAGTACACAATAAGCCGAACACGGACGCCCCAGCTCCGACCACGCATCGGGGACAACAAGGGAGTAGCACGAACGCCCGGGCGAAACATGAATCGCTCGAGCAAGTTCCTGGAGCCACATGCCCGACACTAGGACACCGCGAGGAGGCTGCCCTACATACTTCCTAAAAAGGATGAAAACCTCGGCCAGCTCATGGGCATGCCGACCAAACACATGAATGTCACGGGCAGTATCATGAGTCATATGCCTAAAGCTATGAATGTCACAGGCAGTATCATGAGTCATGTGCCTAAAACTATGAAGGTCACGGGCAGAAGCGCGAGTTATGTACCTAAACTATGAGTTTACCGAGCGCAATCATGAATCTACCGGGCACTACTCCCAGAATATGGGTTTCTAGCATCAAAAATAACATTAAAACTACCTACAACGAAGAAAAATAGAAGGAACAGACACTTACTTGGAAGAAAAGAGTACAAGTGACGGCGGTGGAAGGAATCAACGGCGAATGGTACGGTGATTTAACATCGTTGCAGCAAACGACGTCAGCGGAATCAAGGAAAGAGGGAGGAGCGTGAAGGGGAAAAAACAAATTATGGGCCTAAGGGTCCTATTTATAAGGATGACGTGGAATTTGAAACGTCGCACCGGGGAGACACGAACTTCCCTGTCCTCGACACCTACTCCCTTAGGCAATGATGGCCCTAGTTGCTAGGGTGGCGCTACAGTTCCCAAGGACTGCGCCACGTACTCGACGGGCGCAACCCGTGTATCCCCGCGAGAAACGCCTCAAGCACGCTTCGAAAGACAAAACCCTGGTCCGGGCATCATCCCCGTGGCAAAGGCGAGCGGAAGTCAAGTCATAACTCCTGCCCCAGGAGCAACGACTTGGGGGGGCTCCTGTTCTGGACTGGGTCCGCCTTGGCCCAAACCGCAGATAAAGGCCCAGTCCAAGCAAACTCCTCGGGGAATGCTCAGAAACGGACCATCACCGACGTGCCCGACCATAGACCAAGGCCACTATGCCCGCCATTGCCCGCGACACGCAGTATCCCCGACCAAGGGAACTCCAACTCGAGTCCAGCTCGAGCACCCTCCCTGTAGGGCAGATTCTGTCCACTCCGACCGTTATAGAATCCTCTAAGCTCCGGAAAGACTGCGTCTTCGTCCCTCCTTATTCTTCGGGGAGCATCACCAAGAAGGGGACCACGTACGGGGTCCCACTACACACGTAAAACTTGACAGTTCCTTTATTGGGTCAGTTCTGCTCAGCCCAATAGGGGGACCTTGGCCCAGCGCTGGGGGCTATAAATACCCTCTGTTCCCAGAGGGTCATGTATTCATCTATTACGCACATATACATTTTTTGCCGGCTCATTCCGTCTCTCATTTTAGCATCGGAGTGTCTTGCAGGTACCCCCCCCCCCCCCCCATCTCACTCAAATTCAGTTCGAGCCAGTCGTGACGGTCCAAGTCTGATCCGGTAAGATCAGATATATTTTTGCAGTTAACATAATTAGGTATTTTAGATTTTGTCTTAGGGAGCAATCAAACCTAAAACTATAAATAGGGAGTAAACCTTATTGTTGTAAACACTTGAACAATTACATTGTTGTAAACACTTGAACAATTGCAGTTGCTAAAATAAAGAATATTCACAGTTTGTGAGCAGAGAGAAACTATGCAGATATTCAATGTCTTCCCTTATTTTGTTCAAACCTAATCATCTTCTTCTTAATTATATTTTCTTTCTTCTCCATTGTTAATTGTTGCGCAGAATCGTCTTGTAACAAAGGTTTATTGATTCACTTGAGTGAAGAACAAGAGAGGATTCGATCAGTTGATTAAATTTTATTTATCAAATTTGATTCGAAATTCCCTATAAATTTAGAGTAATTCTAACATGTATAAATATTTAGGTACTCATAATATACATATACACATTGATGCTCACGTGAGTATATGAACTGAAATACAATTTTTTTCAAAATGCATATAAGAAGACGAGTACCACCAGTATTGTTTCCAAATTCTATCCATTATCATCCCTAATACATAGAATCTATTGAAAAAGGATGGTAAGAATCTAAAAATTCTGTTACGATTGGCAATGTAGAAGATTTGTGAAGAAATGCTATAAACAATATGAGATACCGGTGAAATACCACAAATTAAACACATTGAATATTGTATGACTCAAATATGAATTTTCTATGATTCTTACATGAAAAGTTGCATGTCTTAATGGTTTGAAACATCACTCTTAATTGTTATTATAGTTCCTTTTCTATAATAGATAAAGGGTATGCAATAGAAGCTATATAATACGGATACTTCTGAAAAATTGAGTGTCTGAATCTGTGTCGGACCTTCACCTTCAATTTATTTGTTTTTTTAAATTATTATCAGTATCGTCGTATCAGTATCGATGTTGTGTTCAAAGTGTCCGAGTTTTATAGATTAGTTGTCACAAGAGAAAAGTCCAATTCTAAAACTCAGTATCGATTGGTTTGGACAAATCTGAATCGAATCAAAATTCAAAGTAAACTATAGTGTTTGAGTTGAACATTTTATTAGTTCGGGCAAAAATCGAATCAAATTAATAAAATTCAATGTTAATTGTTTTGGGCAAGAGATTTTTAAAACTCTACCCACGAGTCCGTCTATTTGAATCAATCATAATTAATTTGTATAATTTATATCATTATTATCATGTAAACTAGTATAAATTATTCAACTTCAAGAAGAAAAAATTGAAACGCCATTTGCGACATTCACAACCTATATAGAGACAAGAAAAAATTTGGAATTTCATATTATTATGGAAATTAATTGATGTAAATTAGATATTTTTTGAAAATATTTTTACACATTTGTTTCTAATCCAAACCGATTCATATATTTTTGAATTGTTTGGACATCAAATTTTCTCGAAACTGAACCAAATCGGCCTGCAAACACCCCTAATCCAAAGTAACTACATTCTTTTGGCAAATAAGGTTTCAAAAACAGAAGTGAAACTTTTGAATATGACTAGAATCACATTGATATTATAATTCTTTTTCCTCTTTCGTCGATACAGTTCCTTATAACAGAAGATCATAATGGTTCTTACCGCTAAACAACAGCCTCACAGCTTTTCTGCTAGAACCCTTTATAAACTCACTTCCATACTCTGCAATGGGAATGAAACCAGATCCCCGGCCACCACCTCTATGCTGCATTTTTAGTTTACATAGAGACAACATGATATGTTAGCATATAAATTCTACAACCTTATAAACTATTGAACAGATCAAAGGATAAACCTAAGTATTGTTGTTGAAGGCATACCTCATGCTCCGGTATGTACACAATAATTGGTTGCTTACATAACTTTGATAATACCTGCAAGAATATGGACAACATAAGCCAGTATATGAGTTATCGTTCGAAGGGTTTTCGCAACAACTAAGACAGCATTTAGTTAACTGTTATCTTTTGAATAATTTTTGTGATTTCATCTGTTGAATCATTGATGCCGAAGCATTACAATGAACTTCACTACGTGATATATTTCTTCAATGGGTCTTTCAACATTCGCATCAATTCAGGTTGCAGTCCTTGGGAGATAAAACACAAGCGGGACTTTTAAGAAGATCACTAACCAACAGTTCTGATTCTCCTCCCCAGAAATCTGGTTGTACGATCCGCCTGCAGTAACTGCAAAACAACAACCAATCATAGCAATAAATACAAATTAAAAAATACTTCAAGATCTTCATTTTCTGTTAATGTTTTGAAAACATACCGTTGTAAAGGCTCATCAACCGTGACAGCAATGATGGCTTCTTCATATAACTTACGATCTCCTACATTTTCACATATAGCTTCTTTGACTGCCATTCTTAATTCATCTGTGTTATCATTGGCAAGTCAAAACATTGAAAAAGAAAAGAAAACAAAGCGAGAAAAATTTATATAACATAAAAAAGCTAAAACAATATGGGAAGATGAGCATCTCAGCTTAATAGTTGAACCATCAAGCTTTGTGTCACTTAATGAACTAATGAATATCTATGTCTTCTCGTCGGTATATCAGCACACCTGCATTTTCTCTCTCCTCGCGTTGGTTAAGAGCAACTCCTTTGTTGTAAGCCATTCCTTTTACCTGATTTAATTTGAACAACTTGTTAAGGTGGAAGCTCAAACTAACAAAAAACTTGATAACTAACTTATAACAGATTTGTATGGACAAACATATTTGGTTAGATTGATACATCAATTGGATTGAAAACAGATTGTATTGAACTTACCACAAAATCTACAGGTCTGCTCTCTGCATGCCCAAACTACTTAAGTCTATTTTCCGTCATATTAAAACCTAACCGGCATCAAAAGATGGTACTTAGTACTTACCAGTGCACGAAAGAGACACCGTCCATCCCCTGTGACCTTGTGAACTGAAAAACGTTCAAGCTTCTTCATTGCTGCAGACTGTCCACCACTGTGAAGACATAAGGAGAGAAGAAACACGACTCATCAGAATTCTAAACCATTAACAAAAGAATTCAAAATAGTTTATTAGTGAACCTATATATTCATCGGTATCAACCAAATCTGTAATTCTGAAACATCCATAAGAATAAATTGGTGAAAATTTAACATACAAATTACTCACATGGATGAACCAATTCTAGCGAAAAAGAGACTGCTAGAACTTCCAGCTCCGAAGAAGGTTGTTTTCGAAACAATGGAAGGAAGTGGGGAAGAAACAATCTCAAATTTTGCTGTACCATTTCTCAATTGCTTAAGAATATTATTCTCCTCTGGTTCATGTTTCAACAAAAATATTAGCAGTGTTCAAAATTTAGGGTTAGACTTAGTATTGAGAAGTACCGTTGAGAAGGTTTTGCGCCATGAAAATTGACAAGGAATTGAAGCGGAGAAAAAACCACACTCTGTTCGTTCAAGATATTTCAATTTTAATTTTACACTAATAAAGCACCTTAGCGTTCTGTGTTCGCACGTTATATATTTATGATTAGAAAATATATATAAAAATTGTATATAAATTAAGAGAAAAAATATTTTAAATAATAAATATCATACAAATATTAATTTAATTTATCATTTGTATACTTGTGCATGTAGTACATTATCTACTCTTGCATTTGCAAGGGATACGTAATATCATTAAATATATTAGCATAAAGATGATAAAGTAAATATATATAAATTAAATAGTCTCAACCTGGTGAAAATGTATAGTTTAGTAGAAAAATAAAGGAAATAATTAAATAATCATTTAGTCGTGCGTTTGCATGGGGTCTGTTCTGGACTGGGTCCGCCCTGGCCCAAAAGCAAGAACAAAGGCCCAATCCAAGCAGCTCCTCGAGGAACGCGCGCCCGCAGAATCCCGCCAGCGCGCCCGACCGCAGACTGCAGTCGTGCCCGCCGTTGCCCGCGACACATGGTATCCCCGACCACGGGAACTCCAGCTCGAGCCCAGCTCGAGCACCCTCCTCGTAGGGCAGATTCTGACCGTTACCAAATCATCTAAACTCCGAAAAGACCGCGTCTTCGTCCCTCCTCATTTCTCGCAGAGCTTCACCAGGAAGGGGGCCACGTGCGGGTCCTCACTACACACATAGAACCTGACAGTTCTTTATTGGACCAATTCTGGTCGGCCCAATGAGGGGACCTTGGCCCCGCGCTGGGGGCTATAAATACCCTCTGCTCCTGGAGGGTCAGGTATTCATCTCTTACGCATACATACATTTTTTGCCTGCTCATTCCGTCACTCATTTTAGCATCGGAGTGCCTTGTAGGTACCCCCCCCCCCCCCCATCTCACTCAAATTTTGCCCGGAGCCAGTCGTGACGATCCAAGTCTGCTCAGGTAAGATCAGTGGCGCCGTCTGTGGGAATCTATCTTCCCCGTCTTGCAAAACCTCAAAGACCAAAGCTCAAAATCACCTCCTACCGTCATGGCTGATCAAGTTCGGGATGACCAGAACGTCCGCGTCGTCGACACCAACAACGACCTCGCAGATAAAAATGGAATCCCCGACAATACCGGGAACCCCGACCATAAAACACTCCCCGAGGGGACCATCCCCGGGCCCTCAGTCCATCGCGACGGAGCTACTACCTCATCTTCCTCAGTCCCTCTGCCACTCGAAGAGGACAACGCAGCTCCCCAAAACTATCGAGCTACCCAATTTCAGGAAGTCCATGTCCCCGCTGGGGCAGATGCCACAACCCGCGCACTATTCGCGGCGATCAACCAAACCAATTACCTCATCTTTGCCCAGGGGGAAAGATTGAGGGCGCTAGAAGACGATAGAAGACCCGCGAGGAGACACAGGAGGCCCCAGACTCCACCTCCTCGAGTGACAAAGGTACATCTCCCGTCTCCCCCGCGGAGACAATACAGAGACACCTCCCGAAGCCCGTCGCCCCGACCCTCGGGGAGACGACCCCCCTTGGAGAGGCAACCCGTCATTGAAGCCGGAGGGCGCAACCATGGCCCTATACGGCAAGAAAGAAGACACTCTGGAGACAGGCACAGAAGAATTGACCAACGAGCACCACGCTCGAGGGATGCCCAACACGACTAGGATCGCCAGGCACGACAGTATTTCAGGTCCCCGTCCCTGTCCCCGGAGCGCAGTGATGAGGATGACCCCCGCGGTCCCCTGTCACAAGCCATCATGGAGGCGCTCATTCCTCCCGGCATGGAGAAGCCACCACATCTGAAGGAATACGGCGGAGTCGCAGACCCAGTCGACCACATAGACGGGTTCGAGGCCATGTTGCATTACCACAATGTCGGGGGACCCATCAAATGTCGGTTGTTTCCCACAACCCTCAGAAAGGCAGCAATGGATTGGTATAAAGGCCTCACCCCGGGGTCAATCACCTCGTGGCGAAACCTAAAGAATCAATTCATAAGTTCATTCACTGCGTCTCGGCGACACCCAAAGATCGAGGCAGCACCTGAGGCCATCATCCAGAGACAGGATGAAACCTTGAGAGAATTTATCAATCGCTTCAACCGCGAAGCCATACAGGTCCCCTGCGCGGACCACATGAAAAGGTACTTGCTGGAGAGGGGGCTCCTCCCCAGCACAGAATTTAGAAAGGCGGTGGGCATCGAACCACCCCGAACGTTCGATGCTCTCCTCGAGAAGGCCTGGGCATACATGGATTACGAGGAAAGGGAGGCGGCCAACAGAGCCCGGGACCCCAGAACTCGTGGATCCAACAGCAACCCGCGCCAGGAAGCTGCTCCTCCTCGACGAACTGGGGAGAAAAGAAAAGAGGACAGACCCCGAGAAGTCCGCGAACAGCTTCCCGCGAGCGCATCTTGGCAGAGTGTGCCAGCACGAACTTCAAAGACGGCGACGTCAAACGCCCCCGGCCTGCTCCTGCCAAGCCCGAAGTAGACAAGAGCAAGTACTGTCAGTACCATAGGAGTCATGGTCATCTGACTGAAGACTGCGTCCACCTCAAGGACACCATCGAAACCCTCATCAAGGGAGGGAGGATCGCCCAATACCGACGAAACGATGCTCCTCGTCGTGACGCCCGGGAGACAAGAGAACCGGAAGAAGACACCCGACCATCTGACGAGTCCATCCCCGTCCAGACAGCCTTCTCCGTCACCAGACCGGAGGACTTCTACGTCCCCGAACACCTGCAGGAACCGCTCACGAAACACAGTAGGTGGGAATACTTTCCCTCCGCCATGGTCATCAATGGTGGAGGATTCAACGACCTAACTATCAATTCGGCCAAGAGAAAGCTGGATGAACTGGTCGACTCGGCACCTCCGCAGACAGTGACCTTTGAGAGGGTAAAAGGTAGGTCGGAGCCTATCACCTTTTACCTCGAAGAGCTCCCTGGAGGAGCCCCCAACGCAGTCATTCCTCTGCTGATAAGAGCAAGAATGGCTAACTTTGATGTGCATCGCGTCCTCGTCGACGAAGGAAGTTCCATCGATGTGATGTACAGTCAATTATTCCGGACTCTACAGCTAGACGACTCGCACCTCTCGCTGTATATAGGGTCGGACTTACAGGGCTTCAACGGCTCGACCTCCAAGCCTTGGGGATATGTCGAGCTCATGGTTACCTTCGGTGAGGGCACGGTGAAGAGGCAGGTTAAGGTACGCTTCCTCGTCATCGACTGCCCGTCCCTCTACAACTGCATCCCGGGGAGACCAACATTGGCAGAACTGACCGCGGTGCCCTCCACCGTCCACTTGAAGATGAAGTTCTACACCAAGAGGGCACGGGTGGCTACCATCCAGGGGGACCTAGCCGCTGCTCGAAGGTGTTTCAACGCCGCATCTAAAGGACGCGACACTGTCGACACCGGGACAAGGCCCGCCAAGAGACCGGCGATGACACGACAGGAGCCCGACAAATCAGAACCCGCCAAAGCAGAAGACCGGAGAGCTCCCCCAAAGGTCAACTCCATAGCTCTGGATACTCGTTTCGATCAGGACGAACCCCCCAACGACGAGCAAATCCCCCTCCGACCAATCCCGGACGGGGACTTCGAGCTCGTCCCCCTTGGCGCAGACCCAAGCAAAGGAGTGAAGATTGGCATCGACCTCCCCGACCTGGAAAGGAAGAAGATCAAGGCCTGCTTGCGCGAGAATGCTGACCTGTTCGCCTGGAGCTCCACGGAGATGCCCAGACTCGACCCCGAGGTCGCCTGTCACCGACTCGCCATAGATCCTGCCGCTAAGGCAGTAGTGCAATGTAGGCGTAGGCAGTCTCCGGAGAAAACAGAGGCTGCTGAAAAAGCTGTAAAAGACCTCCTAGAGGCGAATTTTATTTCTGAAGCCCGATAATCAACCTGGCTGTCAAACGTTGTACTAGTTAAAAAGAATAATGGAAAATGGCGGATGTGTATTGATTATACCGATCTCAATCGGGCATGCCCGAAGGATGCTTTCCCTTTACCAAACATAGATATGCTGGTCGACAACTCGGCCGGCTACAAGATATTGTCGTTCATGGATGCCTATTCAGGCTATAACCAAATCCCAATGGCCATGGGCGACAAACATTGCACTGCCTTCATGACCAGCTCGGGCAATTATTACTACAACGTAATGCCCTTTGGACTAAAGAACGCAGGGGCAACTTACCAGCGCATGATGAACAGAGTGTTCCACAAGCAAATCGGAGACATGCTCGAGGTTTACATGGATGACATGATCGTCAAGTCTCGAGCAGACACTGATCATGCAGCACACCTAAAAGCAGTCTTCGCCCAAGCGAGACAATGTAAGATGGGATTCAACCCTGAAAAATGCACGTTTGGGGTCAAGGCGGGGAAATTCCTCGGGTTCTACCTGACAGAACGAGGAATTGAAGCCAATCCCGACAAATGTCGAGCCTTCTCCGACCTCCCGACACCTACGTCGAAGAAATCAATACAAGTCATGAACGGTATGCTCACGTCATTGTCCCGCTTCGTTGCAAGATCCGCTCAGCACGCCCTCCCCTTCTTCAGACTCCTTCGCAAAGAAGCAGCCTTCAAATGGACCGAGGAATGTGAACGGGCACTGCGCCATCTAAAACAAAGTCTATCCCAACCACCCATATTGTCTCGACCAGTCGACGGGGAGCCTTTATTCCTATACTTGGCCGTCTCAAACGAGGCCATCAGCGCGGCTCTCATTCGCGAGACCACCGATGAGAAGAAGCCCGTTTATTTCACGAGAAAAGCCCTACAAGGACCTGAGAGCAGATACCAACAAATAGAAAAAGTAGCCCTATCCCTCGTCAACGCGGCGAGGAGACTCAAACGCTATTTCTTGGCCCATACAGTCATAGTGCGAACCGACCAACCAGTAAAACAACTATTAGGTCGACCTGATATGGCAGGACGAATGTTGAAA